ATTTGTTTTGGGCACACCCATTAAAAAAAAATACTAAGTTTTAGACGAAAATAGTTAGTGTGATTCAACTATCCTTCATTAAATGTTGCACCATAGTTATAGTAGCACTTACTTATCTTCTCAAATATAAGGAGTAAATGACTTTTTAAGGATACGTATCTAAGGGTAATTTTGAAAAAACAAATTGAATTTTTTTTAATTATATAAATGGTCACTTATTTTGGACTAAGATAAAAAAGCAAATTGATCACTTATTGTAGACCGGATGAAGTAAGTATTATAGTCTCACGAGTACACATTCTACTTTAACTTACGTGGTTCTGAAGCAGACAAAAATTTCGAGTTCGAGTCTTACCCGATATAATCTAAAAGTATTATTACGTGCTTGATTCATAAAATTAAATCAAATTCGCGCAAAATTTAGAATTTGTTGAAAATATAATTAACTTTTTAAATGATTATTTGCTATTCGAAATTCAGTAACTCGATTAATCTAAGTCTGCAGGTTAGCTTATTAAAATAGGAAGTGCTCTCTATCACATATTTATATATTTTTATGCCTTAAACCCGAAACCTCCAATTAAGACTGAGTTTTTATCATTCTTAAAATTTATATTCGAGCTTTATCCATCCCAAATTCTCAATATAACTCAACGGTGATCCTAGAGCAATTTTGTCAAAGAGTCTATGACAATGAAGAAAGGGAGCCTTAAAGTAACGATAAAATTGTCTATGTGTGATCTATAAGTCGCTGGTTCAAGTCGTGAAAGTAGACATTAATATTTACATTATAATTGCCTGTCTCTATCACATTCCTTAAGATATGATCCAACATGAAATAATTTGTGCACCGTGCTATCTTTAGTCTACAACGGTGGATATGAAAAAGAGAAAAGGGAAACACTGACTGAGATGTTTGAAGAGGGAAAACAAAGCATAGAGCCCCACAAAAAGTAAAATAAAAAGAAATAATTCCTCTAAGAACACCATCTCCCAAACTTCTTCTTTGTACTTTTCCATGCAGAGATTTCAAAGTGCGACCGTTGAAAAGGTAAAAGAAAAGAAAGAAAAAGAAAAAAGTTAAGGATAGATTGTTCGATTCTTCACTAACGGGGATTTGCATGGAATATATATGTATGATGGAAAAGAGAAAAGTTGGAGATAGAATAAGTATTTTATTCTAGTTTAGGGGGGAAAATGGAAATTGTAAAAAATTAGGAGACAACAGAATCTCAGGGGGATTTAGAGATAGATACATTTAACGTCCCCACTAACTGAAATTGATATTTGGGCCCTTCATCTTTTTGTAACTACTTGCCCATTCCCTATACTTTTTCAGCGGTTTGGCGTTTCCTCCTTTTACCAAGGCTGCACTTAACTATATGTCTATAACTAACAGCCCACTCTTGTTCATTAGATGTATTAATTTTTTAGGGGGGAAATACTCTAGCTCTACGTCAAAAAAATCATGGACAATTATTAAATAAAATATACCAAATTCTGTTAATAGTGGAGTGTTAACATAGGACGGAGAGAATAATTTGAGATAACTATTTTTAGTAACCACGACACATATTACGAGACTAAGGGAGTAAAAGATAGTGCGTCAACAATAAAATTATATGGAACTTAATTTTCCTAACTTTTTCTTTCTGTTTAGTGTGGAATTTTTATTAGGCAAGTTCCAAAACAAACCTATTTGAGTTCAATTGTCAAGTCGTTTGTGGAATGTTTGACTTCACATATATATATTTTTAGAAAAAGACACAAAAGTGCTCCAAGTCACAATTTTTATAACTAAGAAATATGTAGTCATAGAACGGAATATATCGCCTTGCTAAATAGTAAGAACATCATTAAAATGAGATACAAAAAGTGAAAATTCTAAATCGTAACTACAATAAGCGTCTCTTGCACCAACTTCCTATACATTAAGAATAAGTAGAAAATTGTGACGGACTTTTTCCATTTTTAGAATGCGCATTACTCTATTATATGTTGAGCAAGAGTTATATCCATTCTCTAATTTATCTTTCTTTGGCTCCATCCCTGAGTAGGGACGGATCTACCTTAGCACGTAACACCGCCTCATCGAATATCTTTACTAATTATCCTTACATAATCCAAATGAAGAAACAAGAATGATACCGCTTGGCTTGTCACAAAGAGTTGAGTAGCTTATGGTGTTAGAGTCTATAGATTTCTATGTAATAGCCTGTTTGGCCAAGCTTTTTTTTTGGGCCAAAAGTGCTTTTTTTTGCCAAAAGCACTTTTGGCTAAAATTTGAGGTGTTTGCCCAAGCTTTTGGTAGGAAAAAAAGTGTTTTTGAGGAGAAGCAGAAAAAAGTAGCTTCTTTCCAAAAACACTTTTCTGAGAAGCACTTTTGAGAAAAATACACTTAGAAGCAGTTTTCAAAAGCTTGGCCAAACACTAATTACTGCTCAGAAGTGCTTTTCTAATTAATTAGCCAAACACAAATTGCTTCTCACCAAAAACACTTTTTTTAAAAGTACTTTTGAGAAAAGCACTTCTCAAAATAAGCTGATTTTAGAAGCTTTGCCAAACGGGCTATAAGGCCGCATGTTTAAACTTTTGCAGCCTCATTTTACGTTTTAATATTTTTGTGCCCCATCTAAAAAATATATGTGCCCAGAGGGGTTTGAACCGCTGACTTCTTAGGGATTATATAAAAGCATTGAACCGGTGGATTATAAGTCAGAGTTGAGGAGAATTTCATAATACATTTTTAATATTTAGAGATGCTGCTGCTCCCTTTATAAGCTGTATCATTTTTATTTTGTTGCTTTTTAAATATGATATTATTACAGTAATTTAATTTTTTTAAAGTTAAAATTATTTATAAAAATTTCTGTGTACGTCCCTGATACCGAGCTCCTCGGAACATCACTAATTAGAATACAGATATTTCAACCACACAACCAGAAATCTCGACGGTAAATTATGATGAAATTTCTTAACAAAAAAGGGTAAGATAAGATAAAATTAAAGAGCATGAGTGGATAGAAGGATAAGAAATTACGATAAGAGTGTCTCAAAAAGCCCAATCACAATTCCCAGCCGTAAAATTGGAAACACCTAGTTACGTTGTGGGTCCCAAGGGAGCTCAATCTCATGCACCTATCACAATCAACGGTGATTACGTTGCGAGATCACGGAACACGTGTAACCAACATGTGAGCTCCCGTGCATGTTCTTATCTAGACCCCACCACGTGCCAGGCCCACACCAATAGCATGTGATTTTGTCCATGCTCATCAAATGAGGAAAAGACACGCGTCAAAATATGAAAGCTCCTCCGCGTATAGCATAAATTTTTCGAGCTAATGAAATTGGAATATAAGTCAAAAGGAAGAAGCATAAGTGTGAATCATGCACCTAATTATTAATTATGAATTATGAAGATAGGAATTTAATCATACTTTCACGATTTCAATGGCTTGGTAAAAAGCCGTGTTTTGTGCTCAAAACGTCTTGTATTCATGCAAGATGATCAAAAGAAGGGTCGTATCACAAGGATTCCAATGTAAGAAATCCATCCTAACGCAAACGTCATGAATAGTTAATTCTACGATTCAAAAAAATAACTTAATACCAGACAATTTTACCGCTACTTCAAGGCTTTCCTTCAGCTTAGTAACCTGGCATCGGAGAAAAAGTGATTACAAATGCATCTTTTGAGGTGTCTAGACACATCTTTGTTGGTAGTTCAATCTGTCATAAATCTACACATCATGTGATAAACAGTTGACAGAAAAATCATTACTAATTATTTTAGTCTCATGACATTCTTTAATTTGCTCTAGAGATTATGACAGTTCTTACAAAAAGATGTGGTGGGCAAACATATGACCTAAGGGTGAGCTATACGTTTTAAAACTGCTTATTGAGACTCTAATTTTTCATGAGTAACATGTGATCATACACGTGAATGTTATCTGTAATGTATAGTCACACACATCTGTAGTAATTTTGATGGTATTCTATGTATCCGTCTTTAACTTTAAATTATGAATTCGTCTATGTGATATTACAAAGAAAGTGATACACTTATGAAATGGTGTTGCTTAGAGAGCGTTCATAATAACCCAAAAAATCGAATTGTAATGATCTAGTTCTTAGCCTTTATATTGTAGTTTGATTGATAGTTTTCTTTTGCTAAGTACAAGAATCTATTTCATGTTACATATAACTTATTTTTAATAAATCGTTAAATTATTCTTCACCATTTGATTCAATTATCATCGATATATTTTGGTAAATAATAGATTTCTCAAAGAGCAATTGGTTTGATAGCGTTACGTTGAAAATATAGTTGCCAGAATATGTGCTAGGTAGTGTATGTCTCATATTTAAGAAAAAATCGATAAATAACCGAAAAACCGACAAAAATCGATGAATCTAGAAAAAATCTACTTAATTAGTCTAGTTCAGTTCCAATATTTGAAAAATCGACTTACTTGGTTTGGTTTCCTTTTAGAAAAAATCGATCCAAACCGAGCCGGCAACACGTGCTATGCACAAATTAAAGGGGGAAAGGGCATATGAGAGAACTAAATATTCCAACCCAGGAATCCTTAAGAAGGTAGGCCCATATTGGCATTGGATTCAACATGTATGACCCAATGATGGTTTCCCATCCATCTATTCAAAAGCCCAAAAACATAGGCCCATTAAAATGTATTTTACTTTCTAGTATACCAATGCTTTGGACTTCTGTAGACTCATAAAAGCAAAAGTATCCTGAGTTGGAAGGACAAAGGCAGAAAGAAATCTAAGCTAAAGTGTGTTGCTCATCAAGTCGAAGTATGGTTAATGCATCCATATATAGTCAGACCTCTCTATAACATCTCTATTTAACAATCATTCACTATAAAAACCAAGTTTTTCTCAGAACCGATTTTTATGCTATGTTATAATATATGTCATGTATAACAACATTTCACAATAGCAGCCAAAGAATATCGGAACAATCGAGGCTGTTATAGAGAAGTTTGATTGTAAGAGACTTTTCTCTTCCAAAAGATAATGAAAAGAAATAGTCCAAGCGGAAAGCCCGACAACAAGATGTCACAATTAGAATCGTAATATCACAACTTGTTGCCTCGTGGCTACTACTGCGCGATTAAGTCATTCATATTCTTTCTAATTATAATGTGGCAAAAACAAAAACAAAAAAAGAACTAGTCTTTCCAGCTTTCCTTACTAGACCGCCGTGAGGAAATGCTTTTAGACGAGAGGGAAGGAGTGACTGGCATGGATGGTGCTTTGGGCGCCTCCTCATCATCCCAATCGTCATCCCAGTTATTGTCCCATCCATCAGTTGAGAGTGTCTCCGTCTTTCCGCCATTGGAAACTGGTAAATCCATGTCCAACTTTTGATACTTGTGGCCGCTACTTACTTGAAGCCTCCGTTTAAAGTATATCAAGACTGTAGCTACTAATGCAATAGCAGCCAAGCACATTATTCCAAAAGATGAGAAACCATACTTGAATTGAGATGTTTTATCAGCATTGTCAATCAGACCCCTGAAATCAAGTGTGCATTGGCCATCCCCGGCCTTTAGAATTATATTGTTGTCATTTCCTGCATTCCGTATAGAAACCTTCATCTGCATGTGGAGCAAGTACCACGGTTACATGTCAAACAGATTGGAAAAAATCCAGTTTAGATAAATGTGTATATTGTCAAAAAATGCTTTGCCAGGATGTTTCTCAATTCACAATAAAATTTCCTGAAGACTAATTTAAAGTATTAAACCCAACATGGCCACTAGAATAAAGCTGTAGACAATTAGACAACATTCAAACAATTCTTCCTCTAGTAATTAACTACACAAACACTAAATATAAGAATATGGATCTTCTGGACGCCTTCAAGCGCTTTGCAGGTACCAAATACGGCCTATTGATTCACATTGAAATAGGAGATACCCATGTGACATGGATAGAGGCCACATGTGGACAAACTTAATAGAGTTCTAACTCTAAAAACGAAAACTTCAAGGTAATCCAGAACAGAAGTAATTCCTCAAGACATGTTTCATCTCAAAGTAGTTATGACGATTCAGTCAATTATCCTCTTACTATTTTAGTCATGTATACGAAGAATACCATATCTCCGAATCTGGACTTATTATGTTCATGTAACTCAAATTGCCTCACACACATAAGTTGTTCCTTGTTAACAAGGTGCTGATCCACCCAACCTCTTGCACATGCACAATTTCCTAATTTAGTAACCCTTCACCATTTCTCTGATCAGCGGATCAGTCTTCATAGTTTGCCCTTTTTGCAAAGAAGTGGTAGCAAACTACATCATTATGCCGTTTCAGCGGCAGTATTTCAGCATAGGTCAGCAAGCTTGCCAGTAAGACAGCCCCTTGCACATACTCTTAAATTACCCCTGGCAGCAGAAGCCACAACCACTCCAGGATTTCTACATCAATTTCTAAATTTGATATACTAAAGAAACAATCACTGACTAAATGTATTTGTTACAGCTTACACGGTAAATGATATAGTCGTCTTCAACGAGATGTGAACCCAAACAAAGATTGCTAGTCATAAGTATGTTAAAGCTTGAAGTGTCAAAACTCACAATAGCACCAAAAGTATGTTAAAGCTTGAAGTGTCAAAAATCACAACTTGTATTTACCTAAGAACTTAGGTTAAACATAAAAGGTCTCTAATATATCTTCTTTTTTTATCTGTTAAAAGGCCTCTAATATATCAGAGGCATATTATCTCAAAATTGCAAACAGTACCACGATAACTTGGAAATGACTAATTTTGAACTATCACAGAAACAGTTTCTGGGAGCTCTACAAAGTTTATATTGGTTAACAAAAAGAACATCATTAAATAACATAATCGACCAAGGTGCTCAATTTGTCAAATCGGCCAGAAAGGGGGAGGGGTGCTCCACTGCAGTTGTAGTTAAGTTATGGTGTTATCATATTTTCTACTTTAACAAAAAGAGAGCATTTGATGGAAGGGGTGATCCAGAGCTACATTGCATCCACATTATTTTGAGAGGAAAGGGGCAAAGAACCAATCATATTTGCTCCTCTGATTAGAGTTTTCATCAGAGTAGAAGTGTTCTGTAATGAGAAAGTGGTAATTCTTTTCATATCAGAATCCCTGTTTCCTCACATAGGTCTATATTTCTTTCGAAGGAAACTAGATAAAGTAAGAAATAAATTAAAGAGTAAAATGGGGCGGTTATACAGTAGATGGATCCATTCGAAAATCTTTTATGCTGTTGGAGCATTTAAACTTAATGGATAAGTACGGAAAGTTGTCTACATTCAAGGTCGCCACCTACTTATCAAGAGCTGTTTCATAATGCTTTAAATAATGCTAGTGAAGTATTCTTACCCTCTGGTTTTCTTTCCCTTGCAGTTCAATCTTCTCTTTCTCCAGTTGTACAAACTCAGGAGCCTTAATCAAAATATTGACAGTTCCTTTTCCATTGTTTTGAACCAAAAGTGAAAGGTCTGGAGATTCTGGAAAGGAAAGCAACAGGTCATACTACAGTTACTCAAAACAACAACGGCATGACATAAGATACAATTGAGTCTATTCATTTAATCAGATAGACACTTCTATCTAGAGAATATCCTACTTATGAGTTTCTTTATAATACAAAATAAGAGCATGCTTTGAGCTATTTGCTGCAGACATGTATCATGGCCACATATCAACTGGATGAAACTACAGGAGCTGATGCAGTGATTTGATTTCCACAGTATGAACAAAATATTGATGCATAAAGTCAACTTATCTCCACCTCTTTTTAAAAAAATTCCATTACCATCCCACCTTTTATTTTTGGTAGAAGCAAGGAGAGAAGGAGCAACGTATATAAGTAGGACAGGGGCTAGTTATCATTTTGACTGTTTGTTTAGGGATAGGGGAAGAAAGCAGTGACTGTGAGCTTGCCTTTTGAGGCACGGTTGATCGATTGATGAAAGTCCACTTTAGTTTTTGGCATTTAATTATAACTCCCATACATCAAAACATGTAGTAAAGCTAGATAAGAAGCTAAAATTTTAAACCTGTCTAAAACTGCTTATAGAGTATATCAACGGCGCAGTCTATGTGAACTTGTGAAGTCACCAGCAAAGATCTATCTTAGCTATATGATCCCTAAACTTAGCTGCTGAAACGGGACTTGTACAACAACCAGTCGTACAGACTAACAACAGCAGAACAAGGGCATTATCTTTTGGAAGAGGAAGGAGGACAAATTACTCAACAATAGTACTATAGTTCTAAGGAGGAAATAATACTATAGTTTTCTATCTGAAGATTGTTTCTCCAGAACATGTATTAAAGGAAATAAAGGTATGGAGGCAGCTTAACTAGAGGAAATTTCAAAAAGATATACGAAGTAAATAAAATGTTCAATACCAATTCAACATAAGAACTACGAAGGACTGCATTCCTTAGATAAGAGCTTTCTAATATCTCTGTCATTTAGGGAGCATGGTTCAAAATCATCTTCTTTCTAAAATTTATTAGAATCTCGAGATGCAAGTTTAAATTTTAATGATAGATAAAAGGATACTGTTGAATTAATTAATTAGATAAAGGGAAGTATGCCAAAAGCATGCATTACCATACTGTACAGACAACAGCAACTTCTTTGTTAACATTAATATAAAAGGAAGCAACTAATAAAGATTGACTATAAATGGAGAATGTGAACAAAAACGTACCATTGCCCGGAACTCTAAGACATGCAACCACTTCTTTTTCCTCTATCGTACAACTATAAGATGAATCGCATTCTTCACCATGGAAAGTCTCCTTTCTTGTAGGCAAAATCTCCTCTCTCGACTGAATTCCATCAGGCAGAATCTTATCCATCTCACCCTGCTTCTCGTAACTAATATCTTTTGCTTTGACTTGCTCTTCAACTTCTTTCGTCTTCTTCTTCTTGTCATCTCTATTGGAACCAGCATCAATTCTTTTCTTTTCCACCTCAGCTTCTTTCAACCCTTCTCTCTCGTCACCCTTTTTTGAACTGCTATCATTGGACTTGTTTTGATCCCCAACATCTGTCAACTCACCAATAATGCCACTTCCATTATTCACTTTCCTTAGGTCCCCAGCTTCCTTTAACTTCATTTGGTTACTCGAACTATCGTTATCCAAATGACCATCCTTTTTTCTATTCATATTTATCAGGTCTAAATTCTCATTCCCACTGCTATTACTACTCAAAATTGCTGCATCCGCACCCGCTTTTTCAGCTCCATTGCTCTATCATCCAAATTGATAATCAATAAGAAACTTGATTCTAGCATATCACATTACTTCACAGTTAAGTAGCATCAAGTTGGAATCTTGAAACTTCACCAATAAGGGGGTTTTGTGTGTGGTTGGGTGGGTGGTGGTGGTGGTGGGGGTGGGGGGTGGGGTGGGGTGGGGGGTTTACACCCCAGATTGGGTTTTGAAGCAATGAAATCAAATGGGGTTTGCTTTAAACACAAATTAAAAACTTAAAAAACAAATAATAAAAAATCAACTCTTTTTCAAGCTATTACCTCTAAATCAGCAGCAGTAGCAGCAGCATAAGCAAAGAGTAAAGTTATAAACACAATAACTGGACGAGTATACATTATATGCATCCTTTTAGAGAACAAAAAACTCCTTCAGACTACAAAAAGAAAAGAAAAAAAAATTGAATTAGTACTATACAAGCATCAAGAATCATAAGTTATAACAGTATGATTTGTATATTTGAGTAAATAGCAGAACAAAAAGCACTTACCTTTATGATTATAAACTATATTTGTGCATTCAAATTGACTTAGCCATATGAGAAGAGTGAATCTAGGGTTTTAATCATAGCATAGTAGCATATTTACGAATTTCTCTGGAGAAAAATGCAACTTGCTAAGGAGCAATTAGGATGGTCAGTGTGTAGCTTGAAATCTTGAATTGTTTGCACTAACTATTTTGACCTGTTATTATTTTTTTTTTTAAACTTTGCTTTGGTTGGAAAAACATCTATTTGGGTAATAAACAGGCCAATTTGATTATTGAGTCCAAATTTGGTTTATTTGAAATTTAAGAATTTTCTTTGGCTGTGCAAGGTAAATGGGGAAAGAATGGGAAAGGAAAATAATAAGTGTTAGGAGAAAAAACTTAGGCAGATAATGAAGAAAATAAATTGGTCTCATGTCGCGTAAAGCTCATTAAAGGATTCAGAAAATTTAACGTAATTTAAAAGCTTGAACGTAAAAACTCTATTAAAAATTATATTGATTCTATCCATCCCGTCACAATCTTTGATGATTTCTCTCGGTTTTATTTTTTCTTGTGATGGACACTTTTTCATTCTTTTATTAAGACCAGAATAAAGTGATCCAACACATTCCACAGGATCATTAATCAATATAAAAAGTAATTATATATAAATACCTATATTACTCGAACTCTTCAAAAATATTGATGGTTGCGTGTCGGATCCTCTTAATTTAGTTCATTTTTGGAGGATCTGGCACAAATGTGAAAATATTTTTGGATAGTCCAAGTAACATAGATAAATACACATGCCAAAAGCAAAAGATATCTTGTCATATTGATAAACTGAGTTGATCATATGCAACACGAACACGTCACCATTATTCTGGAGCTCAATGTTCACTTTGAACAAACAATAAGTTTAGAATAACCTTTAGCTTCTTCTTCTTTTTTTTTTTTTTTGGATTCTCAAACCCTTTGACTCCCTTTTATTGGAGTTATTGCTCATTTGGTGACTCGAACCCACACCCTGGGTGGTAGATGGGGGTTATGACCATCAGAACAACCCTTTTTGTCATCCTTTAGCTTCTTAAAGAAGCCTACTACACAGCTAAACTTTGCACATAGAAGTCTGCTTTTACTGTTCAAAGTTTGGTGTTTCTGTTTTGCGGCTCGTTGATAACTATGTAGTTTAGCTTATTTTATGCCATCTTTTGCTTAGGTTTTGGATAAAAAATTTATAAAAGTATTTCCGAAAACTGACTTAATGTGCTTGTCTGCAGGGTTTGGTCAAAATGAGGCAAGAAAGCAATAATCAACTCATGAAGGAGTTAAATTTGCACAAGTTCAAAACTGAGACTGAAGCGCTCACCGCGATGGAAAAGAGCGGCCGCGTAAAGTCCACCGCTGAAGCGGCCACAATTACGCGGTCCACGGAAATGTGATTCAGAGAAGATGTTTGGGTGAAACAGAGACCGCTGACCACGATGAAAAATCACAGCTGCGGAATACCTGACGCGGCCGCGGTGGTATTTTCGCTGAGAGCGTTGATCAAAGTTCAGAGAACTTGCAAGTTGAGCCTGACTGAGGAGCGGGGTCTGTTTCAAATTACGCGGCCACGGTTGATGCTAACGCGGAGGCGGTAACTTTTACGCTGACTGCGGAATCAAGTCCAAACCAAGCATAAAAGTGAAGGCCGCGAAAGTCCATACGCTGAGGCGCTCAGTATTTCGCTCACAACGGAAACTCTGTAGGGGTATTTTTGTTCAGTAATTTCAGCTGTGTATAAATAGATCTTTTCACATTTTTAGGTCATTTTTTGTATCAAGGAGCTCGTGAACGGCCGTGCTTTATCATTTAGAGTAATTTTAAAGTAGCTTTAGCTTATATTCTTAGATGTTGTTCTTGTAATCAACTTTTATGGCTTATATTTCATCTCTATCTTTGATTTCTACCTTGATTATGAGTAGCTAAAACCATTAGCTAGGGTTGTGACCCAACCCTAGTGTGGGTATTTAATGGGTCTTCAATTTTAGGGCTTATTTGTTTATGGGCTAGTGATATTTAGCTTAATTCATGCTTTAATTGTATAATTGGTGGTTGCAAACACTGATTCGTGCCTTGATGACTTAAAATCTTCTTGAGAAAGAGAGACTAAGTCTAGAAAAATTAGGCTAATAAGGAATTGAGGTATTCAAGAGATTGATAGCCCCAATTAAAGGGTTAAATCTAGAGATAGTAATACCCGACTTGAGTCAACATCATTTGTTATGCATGAACACCCATTTGGACTTGCGAAAGTCAAATCGCGCAAAGTCACTCAAACTACCGAGAGGTATAGAGTGAGCACTTATGTGTGATGGTTATATCACGACCCCAATCATAACAAGCTTGTCCTAAACTCTAGATCCCATTAGATACTCTCCTAGGTGTAAGTCACTTCCCTAGTGCTTTTTTTCACCTGAGAAAACTCCTACAAAAATATTGTACTTAGATTACTTTCAGCAATCAATAACATTAAACATAGATTAGAAACCAATCCAAGCATGGTTAGAAGTGTAATTAAAAGCAACACGCATAGCTAGATTAGATAGAAACCCAATCCCAATCAATATTAACTCCCTGTGGATATCAATCCCGACCTTCCGGGTAAAAGCTGCAACGACCACTCCTTGCCATTATATAGTGGTGCAGGGTTGGAGCCGATCACTTTTTGGGCCGTTGTCGAGGAGTTTAATGGTTTTGGCTATCTATCTGACTAGTTGTGTGTCTTGTTTTTCTTTCCTTCTATTTTACTAACTTGTGTGAGTTAATCGATTCAGGTACAAAATGGCAAATAATGATCCTCTTGGAAATGTTCTCCCGGGGGAGGAGGTAGATGATAATGCTGAAGATGAGGTGCCTCGAGTACCTCAAGCTTAAAGAAGAGGCTGCCAGGCTAATGAAAACATTCCAGACCCTGCCCCAGCTCCGCCGCGAGTAGCTCCTCGGGTGCTTCCAAATAAAGGTTACGCAAGTGCAATTGTCCCACCCCAGATCCGGGCGGGCAATTTCCTGATTACAAATATTATGTTGACCTTATTGGAGCAAAGAGGGTAGTTCACAGGCGCTCCCCATCAGAATGCATATAAACATCTAAAGGGCTTTGTGGACACCTGTTGGGGAAGCAAACAAACAAATGTGTCGGAGGATGCATTGAGACTGAGATTGTTCCTTTTTTCACTTAGAGGGAAAGCTTTGGACTGGCTCGAAAGACTCCCTAACCATTTCATCACCACGTGGGATGAGTTGGCCAACAAGTTTATGGCCAAGTTTTTCTCACCGGAACATATGGAGACACTGAGAGATGAGATCCTCGCCTTTAAACAAGAGCCAAATGAACCGCTTCATAAGATCTGGGAAAGGTATCGGATGATGGTTAAAGAATGTCCGAACAATGACATGACCGAAGCCATGATCCAACAGACATTCTACTGTGGCATCAACACTACCAACTAGTGAGTAGTTAACCAGCTAGCAGGGAGAAACTTTATTAACACACCTTATGGTGAGGCGTGTGAGATACTTGATGAGATGGCAGATACTTCCTCGGCATGGCAAAGTCGAGCTAATGTGCCACAAGGTGATCCTAATGTCATTCACCTGCACAAAGAGCTCCATGACCATGGCCAAGCAATAGCAGAGTTGACTACAATAATGAACCAGTTGGCCAAAGCTCAATTGTAGCAAGTTCAAGCGCCAAGACAAGTGAATGCCATGGAAGGGGTAAATATAATGGTCAACAAGAGGCGACAAAGAGGTCAACAAAGTCAAGGAAATCCGGATCAATATGAGCAAGGTAGTAGTGGTTTCAACCAAGATGATAGGTATGATGATCAAAGTGAAGAAGTTCAGTATGTGAACAACTACCAGGGACAACGGGGCAATGCTCCGAATTAACAATAGCAGTGGAGATCCCAACGAAATTGGGGGAATCAAAACCAACAAGGAAATAGCAACTGGTGGAACAAGAATCAAAATTGGGGCAACCAGAACAACCAGGGCAACTGGGGTGGCAATAACAATAGCAACTGAGGAGGAAACAACAACCAAGGGGGTTGGAATAATGGTAATCAAGGGAATCGGGGGTCGGGATTTCAAAGGCCTCCGATGTATCAACAACCAAACAACCTGCCTCCATTTCCATCTCAAGGTCCTAGCTCGTCAAATAATGAGATGGGAAGGATTGAGTTGATGTTTGAGCAAATGATGAAGAAAAGCGCCGACTCCGATGCCAGTTGGCGTCCCATAATACTTCTATCTGAAATATGGAGGTCCAACTTGGCTAGATTTCGCAATCTTTGAACACTCGCCCTAAGGGGGCACTACCTAGTGACACGGTAGTAAACCCGATGTGTAGGAACAATACCGACCATGCAATGGTGGTGGCCACAAGGAGCGGTAGAGGTGGTGAAGCAAGTACCTCCAAGCAAAAGGAAGTTGTGAGTGATGACGTTGAAGTGCAAAATGATGATGATCCAATAGTTGATGAGCAAGTGAGTTGAAGAGAATTTGAATGCTGAGGTGAGAATTGATATCCATGACAACGTGGAGGAAATCCAAAATGATGTGAACCCATCTAGGGAACACGTGAAGAGATACCGAAAACGGTAGTGCCCACGGCTAAGGCTCCTTTGCCAAGGCCTCCTCCGCCTTACCCTCAAAGACTTGAAAAGCAAAAGAATGAAAACCAATTCAAGAAGTTTATTGATATGATGAAAAGCTTGTCGATCAATGTGCCCTTGGTGGAAGCTCTTGAGCAAATGCCGGGATATGCCAAGTTTATGAAAGACTTGGTAACTAAAAAGAGATCTATGGATTGTGAGACCATCAAAATGACTCATCAAGTGAGTGCAGTTGTACACTCGATGGCTCCAAAGCTTGAAGATCTCTGAGCATTTACCATTCCATGTACCATTGGGAGTGCGGATTTTTCAAAGGCCTTGTGTGATTTGGGAGCAAGTATAAAATTGATGCCTTACTCTGTATTCAAAACTTTGGGTGTTGGTCAACCGAGAGCTACTTCAATGAGATTGCAAATGGCGGATCGAACAATGAAGAGGCCGCTTGGTATTATTGATGATGTTCTTGTGCGGGTCGATAAGTTCATACTTCTCGCGAATTTTGTGATTCTGGATTGCGAGGTTGACTATGAGGTGCCGATCATATTGGGGAGACCTTTCCTAGCTACAGGGAAAGCTTTGGTTGATGTGGAAGCAGGGGAGCTCACCTTCTGGGTGGGTGATGAAAAAGTTGTGTTCCATGTCTGCAAATCAATGAGGCAGCCCAATAGCAACGATGTATGTTCCTTTGTTGATCTTGTGACCGAGGTGATTGTTGAAGACACCGGTGCTGTGATAAATGTGGAGGACCATTTGGAAGCTGTGTTGTTGA